ATGGTTTTGCCTTCTGTTCTACATTAAAAACAATACAATATTCTGGCAGTTGAGCCTGTGTAGGTACAGTGGGAACTGCAGCTTTCTTTTTTTTTGGGGGGGAGCGTGGTATTTAAAATGGTTAAGAATAAATCAAAAGCTTACTTTGAAGTGAGCTTTCAGTAAGGCCTGACTGATGCCAGGTTTACCTTATTTAGCAAAGTATCAACTCCTAAATCACCTATGACTAGTGTTTGGATTAGCTGTTTTAGGGCAGGGGGTGTAGGTGTCAGGGAATGTGCTCTTCATCCATTGAACACACAGAGTTTTGGATCCTGGCATGAGTTAACTTAAAGTTTCTTGAACAACTTTATGCAGCACATGTAAACAAAAGTCTCTTTGGTGTGTTGGAGCATAGCTGGATATCCCAGCAGAACAAAGAAACCAGTCTGCAGTTTTGTTTGCACTGCCTGTTGTACATTTAAAATATACAGCAGAAAAAAAGTCTTATCAACATTTCTTAAGAGTGCCAGTAAAAGCACTAAGCTGTTTCTTGCATTTGAAGTGCCAAAAAAGAAATTTTATTATCTAGTTTAATATAATATGAACATGTTCATCTTCCAGTCAGCATTTTGCTAACCATTTAGATTACTTCTGCATACTTTAACCATAATGGCTGGAAACCTCTTAAACTGCTTTACAAACTTCATCCCCCACGAGATAGTATTCTAAGAAAAAAAAAATATTTTAAGATAAGCAGAATTATCTTTATGTTACAGGCCTTTGTCTTGTACCTCATCCTCTCTCCCTCTTTTCTGCCTTTCCCCTTTCTCCCTAAAGAGAGAAGACAGCAGGAAAGCAGGGCCAATTTTATATCCATTTTAACGGATGACAGACTAGGAAAAGACTAGTGGAGAATGTAATGAGGGCTCTGTTTTAGCACTGCACCTCAAATCTTGTAGGACTTATGTGTGTTACTTAGGTGGTTGGGTATTTGCTGTATTGAGGCTTAATTATTTTGCCCAAGGATGCACAGAATAATTAAAAATGAACACGCAAAACAAGGTTTAATGCACTTCCATTGGAACAGACTGTATACAAGTGCCAAATATTGGGGTTGATGGCTACATGCATTACTCCAGAGGTGATCCTGGTGGTACCTGGGACCCAGCAGATGAACAGTGTGGGTGCCCCCAGGCAGGGACTCGAGGGGTGGCCATCCTGTTCCACCTGGTGTGGCTCCACACACAGCCTCCCTCCACGGCCTTTCACCACTTGTTTCCACTTTTCTCCATAATTTCCCCTGCAGCAGAGAGTCTTTCTTCTTGAAAATAACAACAGCCAAGATTTAATGAGAAGATTTAGCTTTCCTTTGATAAGACCGTGGCCATAATAGAGTTTGCCTGCCTGCACAGTCCCATGGTGCAGACAGAACCTCCAATATTTCCTGCTTTAGCATTATTTGACCAACTAAAAATTCAAGCCAAGGATTGCTTGTATTGAAAGAATGCAAATTGTTTTTTTCTCAATATCAGAACAACAAGATATACACATATCTGCAGGTGGTATGGAAATGAGCGAGTGTATAACTGTTGGAAATAAATTGCTCCCAAATGATTGTTATTTTTTTTGCTATGCCAGTGTAGCATATCCCAATTCTGAGACATGCTAAAGGAGACTTTTCAAGTAGAAGCTTCCAGCGAGACAGAGGTGTCTGCACAAAATAATGGCAGATTGGGAAACTGAAAAAATATGTTGTTAGTAAATACTGCCTTAACAAACAAGTGCTGCAGTGAGTTAATATTCACCCTACCTGAGGTGGCTGTTCAAATCACACCACCCATGTGCAGAATGACCTTGTGTCTCCCAAATCTTCTGCTGGTGAACTCCACAGGCTGTTCCTTTGCTGTGCTGGGCATGGACGTTGCCCTTCAGTGTCACCCTGGAGCAGATCAGCAGAAACATTTTGTGTGTCTCCACTGTGCATCCCTCCTTCCTTCACTTGTTTTGTTGCAGCTATGATCTTCCTTCTTGAAATAAATATCCTCCAAGTTATTAACCTGTCTTCCATCATCTGAAGGCAGATTTTTCATCTAGTCTCTGTGAGGCTGCCTAAAAAGAGCTCCAAAGGCTCCGTGGGCTGGGGAGAAGGTGGTTCTTTGCACATCACAGAATTTTGGGGCCAATACTAACTCATTCATACCTTGGTTGAATTAGCATTGACTAAGGAGGTGACAAAAACCAAAGACTTTCCCTTACAGCCATAATTCAAACTACGACATTCACTATGATTTGGATAAAAAGTTTTGTTTTTTTTAGTAAATTCTCACCTGTAAGAACCCATCATTCAAGCAGGAAAACACTTATTTAGAGCTCTAACTTCAGCCTGTGGTAACTTCAGCCCATGGTCTGAGCTTAAAATGGATAATTTCTGCACTACAAATTTGATTTTATCTGCCACAAGTACAGACCCCTCTTAAGCCCTTACTAGGAGTTCTTGTCAGGTTCTGTCTCACAATGCCTGTCAGTAAAGCCAACAATGGTGGGGTTTTGAATACCACATTTTTATCCAGGACCTGTATTAGGACTGTACAATGTGAAACGTTGATGCCACTGTAAGATAATATTTGATCAGTATGGATTTCTCTTTTCCTTTTATGCTGCATGGATTGTGTGAAATGGAATAGAACTCAGCAGCAGGAGCCTGACATGCCAGAAATCACAGCCAGAGGGGATTGTGCTGTTTGCACCCAGCAAAGCCAAGATCCAAGAGGGAACACAAGGGGTGGTAACTCAGTTGTGGCCCCACTGGAGGAATGGACTAACTTGGAGAGTATTAAATAGTGTTTGCCTCGTTAGCAATGCCTTACTGCACACCCTCCTCCATTCTCACTTATAGTCTGCTCTGGTTGTGTTGGGAAGGCAGATTTTCCATGTAACTTGTTGACAGAATAGGGGAAGAGGGTCCCTATTGATAATTTGAGTGCAGGTGTAATGAGATTAACAGTGGGGGACAGCTGGGGTGGAAAGCCAGGTACAATTATTTTCCATTAGCCAAGCACACCTCTTCCCTGATGAGAGGAGCTATTGCCAGATCCAAGGAAAACACATCTGTCCTCTTCATCCAGGTAGTTTGTAATGTGCTTTGGGATTTTCTGAGGTGAGAAGAATGTTTGTCACTGCTGTTCAGCTGAGAAATGTTTTAGGAAGCAATTACCATCTGCCTACTGTCTGAAGAGGGAGAAAACCAATAAGTTCTGGCAATAATGTAAATGACCACAATTTCAGGTCACAAGCTTTCAATCAAACCTTGATTCAGATGAGGAGACCATTAGGGACCATTTAACATGGCAGTAACTGTAATTACAGTGTCTTCAATATTTGACTGAAGCCAATGGTTGTTCTACTTTCCTCCTGTAGCAGCATCATCACCAATATGATCTCTGCTCCCTCAGCTTTCCTGCAGTAAGGATCCTTTGTCCTCAGTGATTCATGGGTGGATCAATGTTCTACGGGGCAGAAGTTTTGCTCTTGTGATTTATCCCTCCTAGACCAGTGCCAATCACTGCAGTCTCAAGGCTCCTTCTGCAAGGACAAAAGACTCGGCCTTTGGTCTCATAAATACATTTTGCTCACTGGAACTAGGCTATTATCCCATAAAACCTTTCATCCTGTTAATGAAGAGAGCATGAAGCATGTCAAATAGACAGTAATTGATATAAGCTGAATACTGCAGCCTGGCCTGATAGGGAATGTTCCAGCCTACTTTATTTTCAGAACTATCATCCTAACAAATATTTATGGATAGGTGGGATTTTCCTACTGTTTCTAAGGCTGAGAAGTAGGTGGCTGGTACAATTCTATCCATTTGTTTTCAAATAGTTATTCATTGTGGGATGGCTTTCTCAAAGGGATGTAGAAACATCAGGACTATAGAGAAAGCCAGGAAAACAACAGCATACTTGTTTTTGCCTGGCTCATTTATTGCTTACAGTTTGACTGTGCTTTTAGGAAGACGAGGTGAATTTAAATGTAAAGGAGCAGAGAAATCCACTGAGAGGAAGGTAAAAGAATCTGAAGCCATTACAGTCAAGTGCCATAACTGATGGTAGGAATCTGAAGAGCAAGTGCATGTGGGGTTTAATGACATCTTATTTTGGGATAGTCATTTTCAATTGCCAACAGCCAAGTGTGGCTGGGACAGAGTACAACAATGCAGCCTGCTGCCTCTGCTTATCAGGAGAGGCAAATGCCAAAGGCTGAGGGCTTGGAGGGCTCAGAATGGACCCAGCAAGCCTGACCTTACAGTTGTTTTTCACTGAGATCTCCTCTTTGCAGAAAGGCTTGAGTCTTCTCAGAGAGGTGTGTGCTCATCTGAACTTCTTCCATGTGTTGAAAAACCAAAGAAATTCTTCTTGACAAGGGGATGGAAAAAGCCAAATGATTCTCCAAGTTTCTAATTTAGAGTCCTAATGACAGCACCCACTGCCACTCTCCACTACACTGGTCATCCTTTATCCAGCAGTACCTACTTACACATTGCAGGAAAGTTATTCCTACAAGCCTGACTGTGGGATCAGGCTGACACACCATTAAAATGGGTATAGTTATAGTACTTTACTCCTGCAGAATGTCTGTTCCCCTGACCTGAGCTGTTTAGATGCTTCAAGGGTAATACCAGTGATTTCACTGTAGTGGAAAAGTACAACAGCAACAATATCAGAACTGTTCCAAGTGACAAAGAGCTGTGGTTCATTGCAAAACTTTCTGTTGCAAATCATAGAACTCAAGTGGAGAAATGCCTTCTCAGATGATCATCACTTTCTGCTGCTTTTTTTAAATACGAAGAATCATCTTGGCCATGCTTAATAATATTGAATGATGTGCTATTCCAGGCAATGGGATAAGCTGCAACAAATCCGAGGACTTGGTGTGAGCTGAAAAATGAAGGAAAAGAGCTGAACCAACCAGAACTTTACGAATCCACCTTATGATAATGATTACCTGCTCTCTTACTTCTCAGAGGAATCAGTCCAATTTTTCCAGGCTGAGGGACAAAAAACCCACCAGTCCAATTGACTGTTAGTGTGGATTGGCTGAAAATGCTAAAGAAAAATTGTCTGAGTGTCCAAGTGAGAGAAAGAGCAGCTCTCATTCTGCATCTTAATGGCAGTATAAAATGACCAGCACTTCTGCAGCAGATTACAGGGTCACATCTCCATTACCATGGGGAATGCAGAAAGCAGAATATGTAAGTACAGATACCACAGTACCATCTCTGCTTCTCAAAACGCTTCTCCTGTGGTTTAATAAAATTCTGAGGTGCTTTGGTTGTGCTATTCCCATCTGCTTTCATTGCTTTTTTTTTTTTTTTTAAATTTTTAATAGCAGTGGAATATGCTGAGCTGCAAATGGTGTTACGTGCTGCATTTTTCCTCATCCCTGGCGTTATATATTCATTTCCAGCTTGTAAAAATAACCTGTTTATTCAGTTTCTGAGTCCTGCATGAGATGGCTCTCATTTTCCCTGTGCTGGTTCCCTGTGGTTTTATCACAACTGCCTGCCCACCCTTGTGCTTTGTCTCAGCTACGGAGTTTTCCTTCCCCAGAAAACTGCCGAGCAGTTCTCTCCAGCAGCAGAGAAATGATGGTCAGTGCAGGAGCCTCTTTGTGTTGAATTAATTTCAAGCCTCCCTACTAATTTCAGAGAAAGCAGCATAGTGGCCTAACTTATGCTGGATGATTTTGGGCATCATTTATTTCCCTGGTTGTCTCCAATCAGTCAAACCAGACGATGGAATGCTCTGTGCTCCCACCTCCACACACCTTATGCATCTCACTCCCCACTCCCTGCAGGCTGTGCCAGCCCAGCCCATCTGCTGAGGGGGTGCAGCCTGTGCCCACCCCAGCACAGGGAAGAGCTGAATTCTAGCAGTAACCAGAGTGGTCACCACTGCCACAGGGGATGGGCAAACAACGGTGGGCTTCAGTTGTAACAAAGCAGACTGAGGATGGATGTTTAAAAAAATGCCCCTTCCACTGAAAAAAAGATAATGAGGCCCAGGGATGTATTGTTAAGGGGTGGTGGAATTTTTTATAGGATGGCCAAGTGGGTCTCAGCCCCACAGTGGCCATAGGTGATGCTGTCTTGGAGCTGGAGGTGGGCTGCCTGCCCCCACTTGGTCAGCTCCCTGCTTTCCCATGGCTGTACAAGTATTTGGTTTCCAAAAATGCTGTCATCATAATACGAGCCACCTTATCATTGCTTTATTATTTTCCATTCAGAGACTGCAAAACTGAATTACTAAGCATCCCCTAACTCTGTCTCTCTTCACATAGCTCTGGTCCCTTCTGAACTCATCCAGAACCAACAACTCTCAGGCAGACATGTGCAGATGGATCCCTGGAGCATCTGTAGGACACATTTATGAGTAATTACCTATCATCTGGAAGGTTACAGAGCAGCAGCATAAGTGTGACCTGCCTTCTGCATTTATATCTAAGTCAAGACTAAGAAACATCTCTAGCAGATGGGAAAACTCCAGACTCTCAAAGTTTCTCCAAGATGGATTATTTACTATCTAGTACCTATCAGAGCAAAGAGAGCTTATCCAGCACAGTTTCTCTTATGTCTACTTATTCTTTCTTCTTTATTTCATCAGGATCACAATCGAGATTGATCAAAATACTGAATGAGAAACTAGTCAGTATAAGGGATTTTTTTTGACCTATTTTATAACCTATTTTTTTTTTTCATTTGCATGCTGCTAGACCATTGCATGCTTGGCTTTGACACCCTGTGTGTGATACAAGCAGAAATGTTTCCTGACTAGTTTATGCCAAAACCTTTCAGCCACTGTGTTGTCTAATGCCACTGTCACCCTGTTTATTTGCTGTTCACAGTGCAGGACTGTCCCACACAAGGCAGAAATGTGGCAGCATTTCTCTCTGACCTGCAGGACAGTGTTGTGAAGATGACAGTCTTTCCACAGGACCTGTTGGGACCCTCTCCACCAACCTCACCAGGAGCTGCACAAATGCTGGTAACACAACCCAACACATTTACTTTTCTATCTCTGATACTATTTTATTTGCCACTCTGGCAGAGCCTGAAAATTCAAGTTTGACTTTGGCTTCCATTGGATATGGAGATTCAATCTGGATGTTTATCTGAAATGTCCTTTAGTGTGGAAACCATAGAGAAATTTATGTAACAAGATGCATGAGTTTGTGTTGTTTCATGGGACTTCTCTAGACCTACACTTGTTTGCTGTTTGCTTCTCCCAACTGAAATGAAGTCATCCAGATGGAAATCACTTGGTTGGCTCTCTGTGTACGGACCCAAATCCTTTTGGGGGGTTTCCATCTGTCAGTCTGTAGGCCTGGCACAAATATGGAAGTACAGAGGAACTTCTTGAATTATAACTCTCTAGTAACCTTTGCCAAAACTCAGAGGTTGAATTTGGCCTAAGCTTTAGAAAATACCCAGGCAAAAGCTCGTTATGTACAAACTCTTTCACTTCCCTTTAAACCAACATGAAAAAAAGAAGGAAAAGCTGACATTTCAGTTCTGCAAATAGCTCAGCACTTCTAAGCACTGGCTCAGTGGCTCTCCTCCAGTATCTTTGTTGCTTCCTCCCTTCGTACCTGGAGTGCCCTGAGACTGCACACCCAGAGATTTATGAAGACCAAGTGTTACGGAAATCTTATCTAATTTTTTTTTTCTTTAAATCATTCAAACAACAAACCATGCAAGTATTTGCAACAGCAAAGTGAATGGCATTTTAGATTTGGTGGTATTCATGGGAAGCAAAATGTATGAAATATATGAGCCCTCTCCAACAGTAATCCTATTTTTCCCCCTCATCTCATGAAGTCATTGATTCTTTAGAATTTCCCAAATGTATCCAGAGTCAAAGCAGTGCCCTGCAATGGGGTTTGACATTATTTTAGCCACGGTCAAAGTGAAAGCTCCCATTGTCAGGAGTAAAACCCTGGAGGGAATGTGCCAGCCAGGAGAGATTAAACGTTCTTTGTATTGTACAACAAAAAGCGCTGTAAGGTTGATCACAATAAAAGCTTTCCAAACTGACAGCACTGGGCTCCTTCTCCTCTTTCATCCCTCTTTTAAGCTGTTGCACAGTTATAAAAAGAAATAACATTTCAGCAAAGTGAATGGTCATTCAGTGCTCAGGATAAAAGGTACATTCCTTTTTCATGGATGGAGAGAAACCATTGCAGTGCCTGGGGGTGAGCTGTGGAGCTGGGTCTCCCACAGAAGGCTGTGCCGCTGCCTTGAAAATGGGAAAATTTATCTTTAACATAACCCTGATGTTGTTTTGAGGTTGGAAAGCTTTATGTCAAACTTTCTAGTCTCTCCAGAAGGCAGTTTCATTAATGTCACAACAATTTTATAGGGGTGAAGTGACTTCAGAAGAGTGTCTATTTGTTTGTGGCTTTTATTGGGGTTTTTTGCAATATGCCTAGTTTAAAGTCAGAACACTGAGAAACTGAGAAATAATCCCAAATTTACTCACTGCAATTTGAAAATCTTTCAAGTTGACCAAGTTGGTCAAAACTCTGCTGAGACCTTTCAACAGAATCACAGAATATTCTGAGTTGAAAGGGACCCACAAGGATTATTGGGCCCAACTTCTTATTCCTGTCCAAGCAGACAGAGAGCCTGTCAGTGGGTAACACCCTCTTTTCTTTGCACAGACCAGTGAGATTGGATCCCTCCTCTGCTTAGAGCATTCAGCCTGGGGGGGAAGTGCAGAGGTGAATGGCATGGATTGCTCAGTTTTCTTCTCTTCAGTCAACTTCAAGACATTAAATGAAATTTACTTTTGTTTATCTGGGGAATTCAAAGCGAAAGTCAGAAAATGAAAACTAAACCAGTAGTGTCTGCCCTGCTGAAATGTACAATTCCCAGGCACTGTACAACAGTGAACCCACACACACCTCGGGTTAATGCAGCTCTGTGCTTATCCAATTAGGAACAGAATGGGGCAACAAACAAGATCTCAACAAGCTGATAGAGCAGGAAATATTTGATCTGAATTTCCTCAGCAGAGAACCATTCTAAGTGATACGAAGGCTTTTTCCATATTTGCAATAATGGCATTTTCTGTGAGCAAATCATCCTGATAGAAATTTTCCAGCTATCTTTTTTTGGGGGAATAATTGGGTCATGATAATGCACTGCCTTGAAGAGAGCCTGGAAAGATTAGGCATGCTTGCTTTGAAAAGATTAGCCACGCTTGTTTGGGAAAGGAGGGGTCACGATAAAAATAACGCCTGCTTTATCTAAGCATATCAGAAATCTTTAATTGTGGTTTTATACTAGAGTGGACAGATATAAAAATGAGAAGTTTGAACTCATAAAAGGGAAAGCAAATTTAATAAGATTTGAGACTATTCTATGAATAGCAAGGCTAGACAGAAGTGTCAAAGGTGGCACTGAACATCTGCAAGTCCAGAGTGTAAATATTCCCAAACTGAAAGAAATGCTGAAACAAACCTCTCTGTGTGCAAATGCCATAAAGCCCATTAAATGCCCCAAAGTTGTGGGCTTTTTGTACTGGTTTTTGTTGTTGTTGTTGTTGTTGTTGTTTTAGTTGGCTTAGTGCTAACAAATCCACACCCTCTGTAAACCAACACTGTTCACAGACAGGGCAGTGGAGGGGCCATCTGGTTCATCTTCCTGCTCCAAACCAATCACTAATGATCCTGACATTTCTTCAGCCTTCCTGTTAAACAGGGCTAAACCACACATCTAAGCACTGCACCTTTCCTGTTTGAATCACTACCCTCCATTTTTCTCACATAAACAGAATTTTGGTTGTTTATTAATTCTTGCATTAGTACACAGACATCAAGGATGCTTGACAGGATAGGCTATTTACTCCCTTCTTATTCCTATTCAGGACAAACCTATCCCTTAGATTTTTAGGTTCTTACTGGATTCACCATCATTTGTAGCTGCCTATAGATTTCCTTCTCTTCCTTGTTATCCTATGCCATTACTGCCAACCCCTTCACTGGAACAGCAATGTGCAAAGATTTCTTTCACTTTATAAGGAGCACTTCAGGTGTGATCATCAGCCCAGGCTACTTCACCTTGTGATCGAGGAGGTGAAAATTCCCCTCTGGAGCCATGGATTGATCGAGCACCACCTGTGCTGTGTGTCCCAGCTGAGGTGGGGGCCAAACCCTGGAAGGGAAGGGAGGGGCCACATGAGCAGCACTGAGTTCCTGTGGGGCTTATAAAGAAGGGAGTCAAGGTAGTCAGCTGCTGTAGTGGAGTCAGAAAGAGTCTTACTAAGAGCTAGTAGGTAAGCTGTTATTGTTTGAAGTTCTATAGGTGTATTCAAGGAAGGAAAGTGGGTGAATGCGTAGCTCGTGGTCTTGTGTGAGTGCTCCCACAGTTGGATGTGATGGCTGGGTGAAGCAAACCAGTCCCTACAATGTGCCCCGGAGCATTTTTTCTGACCTGTTACCTTCATGTTGTCAACCTGTGTTACTAATTACTTTGTTCATCTTTGTGAGAGCTGCTGTGTGGGCTTGGCAGGGGCAGTAGACTTTGTGGTGCCAGTCATGGTGAAATCTGTTTGCAGAAGAAAACTTTTTGATACTTTCCCCCCCAGATACTGCTTTACTGGTTTATGACTAATTGAAAAACGGATTCATGCCTGAAGTTTTCTACCACTGTCTCTCTGTGAATGAACCCAAGCTGCACCCTCGCTGGATGACTGCCAAGGTATTTATCTGTTGTTTCTCATTGGAGCTGTGGCTGGGTTTCCTTTTTGATATTCCAGTGGAGCAGATAACATTTGTAATTCTCTTTCAATCCAGCAAAGTGTATCAACAGCATAATTTTGCAGGTTCTCCTCGCTGGTACAAAGTGCCTGGTTCCCTGTGGGGATTGTTGTGGGTCTGGGATGGGATCCCTGTTGTGCTTTTTAAATGTCTCACTGTAAATCTTTGCATTACATGATTGTGATGTCCTGCTGGGTCTCTGTTGGAGTGTGATTTTGGCAAGGTTCTGCTTTGAAGGCTATGGCAGGCCAGAAGTGTTCCTTCCCATGTTCATGTTCTTAAGCCTGTGGCGCATTTCTGGTCGTGAGCTGTGGTCAGAGTTCATCTGTCTGAAAATTAAGTGGCCAAAAGTAGTGGTCACTTTTAACTCCCTGTCTTTATTCTGTTGCCCAGCTCAGCTCACATCTGAAGAATCAGCCCGAGAATAGCACTGAAGTGCAGGGAGTGTGGGGCAGGAGGGGTGTGGAGGTAAGAGGTGTTTCAAAGCAAGGGTCCAGCACAGAAAACCCAGCTTAGCTGAAGCGGATTCAGGTCTAAATGTATAGAAAGCAAAGTAGGATTTTTTTGTTAGCTCTGCTTGTGAACCTTTGGAGAGTGTAGTCACTTGACATGTAATAGCAAGGGAGCAAGTGGAGACTCCAGGCTCTCTGGAAGCCTGGCAGCCCTATCTCCTATGGCATCAGGCTGGCTGGCCTTCCTCCAGCAGGTCCCTGTGCTGCTCTTTCTCTGAATCAGAGCCTGGCAATGTGTGAGTGCCATCATCTCCCAGGACAGGGACTCACAACCTCTCCTGAGCAAATCTTTGGTGTATTTTAATATATATTTGTTGTTCTTTGTTCCATTTCAGTGGGACCCAAAGGAAATGGTACCCATCTGCAGATTTCTAGAAGGAATTAATCACTGCTTTTCTGAGTAGCTCTCTTCTGCTAGCATGCAACAATACCACTTCCAGTAGTTTCTGGAAAGCTCAGGTTCCATGTTGTGAGACTTTTCCCACTGCACAGCCATTATTTGTCTCAGTGCCTGCACGGTATTGTGACACACTGAGGGGCTGGTGTTCCTGCATTGCAATATAGTGTTTTTTCTAGATATATGAGAATTTTAGCTGTAAATATGGGCACAGGGTATATTTGTGAAAACATTGGATTAATGTCCAATTCTAGCCATGGTTGTGCTGGATTTTCCAAAGATCTTTAGAGATTTAACCTATGGCCACCCTATTTAACTCTTTCAAACTTCTGTGTTGGGTTGCCCCTCTCTTCTCCCATGGCAGAGTCATGAACTCCTGTGGTTGTGGGTTTTATGTTGGCTTGGTGTTTGGGTACAGACTGTGTCCAGAGGATGGAATATCTGTGAGGAGGTGGGAGCTCTATGTAAAGCAGCTTTCAGTGATGTCTGGGATATTTAATGGAAGTGCCTTGTGTAACACCTCCTTACCTTCACCAAGGGCCAAATGCAAAAGGGCTTTCTGTGGAGAAAGGAGGACCCTGCACTCTTGTTTCCCATGGGTAGACCACCAGGGAGAACATCATTCCCTGGAGAGTTGTTATCCAGATTCAGGAGGTCCAGGTGTGTCCACAGATGCACCAGCTGTTTCAGCTTCTCCAATCACAAACTCACTTTGACAGTCTGTCTCCACCCAAACCACCCAATGAATCAGCATTTGCTCTCTGGTATCTTCCTGGTGAACGGCCTTTTCTTTAGGGAGTCAGCAGGCAGTGCTGGTTATGATGGATGGAGGCATAAATGGAACAGTCTGTGTGAGCTGACACTTACTCAATGACAGACCAGTGGAGCAAAGCCACCAAGCAGGCAGTCGTTCACATCAGCACAATCCAGTCCCACTGTCAGATAACGTGTCCTCGAGATCACCCAGATAGAGCTGTCGCCTTGGAAGTAGCTTTGCTGTTTCTGAAGTTAGCTTGATGCTTTTTTATCACACTTGCCACACTTGCCTGTGAGTGATGATTTCCATAAATCTGCCTGGAGGGTGTTTTGGTCTTATTTGTCATGAGATGTGTTATCGTCTGCTTGGTGAAATCCTACGTGGCAACAGTATGACAACAAATGCAGCACTTCTAATGGAAAACTGTTCAAACAGTCTTGTGTTGTCAGTGCATCTCTAAACCGAATAAGGTTTTTCTTTTGATGACTGTATTAAAAGAAATGTTTGTTTTGGGGGACAGCTTGAGTTGGTTTAGCTGGACTACTCGTGTGGTTGTGTGTCACAAGTGCTGTGCAATTGCTCTGCACATCTGGAGCTGCTGTTATATCAGAGACTCAGCAATGGGTAGAGACCAAAATTAAGGCACTGCTCTGTTGTAGCTGTACAAAATCATTACCGTTTATTCCTCTTCCAAAGGGTTTTGTGCTGGGAAAGCCAGATTCAGCTCCCTGTTCTGCTTAATTCCTGGCTGCCCTGTGGGCTGGAGACGTGGGTCTCTGTGGCTGCAGCTGGGAGCCCAGCAGTGCCAGCACTGCCCCAGCTACAGGACCTGCTGTCAGCTCCCCCTCACCCTAAATGGGCTTTGTCCCCTGGGGCTGTGAGGGTGAGAGGTAGGTGTGTCACCTTTCCTGTAATTAAGATAAGGTTATAAGTATTTAAATATAGTTTTAATGAGGAAAAAATCCGTTTACTTAAATACCTAAGGTGGTTTTTTTTCTTCAAATATTTAAGGACAGGAAAAGATGCCTTTGATTTTAATGAGCCTGGATAATTCAGAGGTCCTTCAGAAAGCATTTTGGTGTCAGAAATACCTTCTTACCTATGGTGCCAGCAGTCATAGCAAGCTTTTAACAACAGTTGTTCCTCAAGAGCTCCAGGTCTTTAAATAGGAGTATTGATGAACTTCATCAATAAAGTGTGAATGTGTTTTAGTTAGATTAGGATAGAACTGTTTCATGTTCTTCACTCCCTGTCTCTAATTTACCTCAAATCTGGCCTCAGCTGATATGTTCTGTACAATAAACAAGTCAAAATAAGCTAAATGGTTGTGTGCAATGAATGCACAGAACTTAATGCTACATGTAAATTATGGTGATATTAATGCTGTGCTGCAATAACATACACTTGGGAATGTAAGTGCCATATCCACAATTGTATACAAGAAAAATATAACATAATATTACTAATACAAGATGAAGGGCAGGATGCTATAGCTTATCTTTGAGTTCTCAGACTAAACGTGATTCAGACAAGTCAGTTCTCAAATTATTTTTTTTTTCAATACACAAAGTTTCCCTTACTGAGTTTCTTATATTATTCAGTTGATGTGGAAATCCAAGACAATCTTAACACATACAAACTGTTTCATGTAGTGAATACACTTTGGCTAGGATTAGTCCACTGTTCAGCAGAACACTTGCAATGTGAAATCCTGTGTTTACCTATTTTCTCTGTATTTTTGACTCCTTCAAGATTTCCTGTAAGGCCACCAATGTCTGTACTGTTGGAAAACCCTAGAAAATTCAGATGAATTGACCTTTTGTGAGGCTCTGAGGCACAACAGAATATGAAGAGGATTTATGGCATACAGAGCCATCACATGCCTTGCAGAATTCAGAGTTCACTGCTGTGAATCTAGCTAGGAGATGTAAATTAATTCCAGCCATGAGATGTAATAAGTCTGTGCAGAGTACAAGGGCTTTATCTCCCCTGAGTGGCCCACACCCACCTTAGTTTCTTTTGAGAGGGACCACGTATAAGAGAAAACATTGTCTCCTCCCCTGCAGTGTGAGCTGATCTGAAGCCTCTCTGCGAGACTGTTTGTATTCTGGAGTCCTGTGGCTCTGAAAGAAAGGAGGAATAGGATAATAAATATCCTTTAATCCCTTTTACTTTAAACACAAAATCCTATTTTAATGTTCAGGTAACAGTTAAAAATGTTTCTGTTCAGAGATACTTAATAAACATGATAAGGGACATAAGACAGAGAATGAGTGCAGTATCTGTGAGCAAAACTCTCCCTGCTTCAGTCATACCTAAGATTGAGCTCTTATTTCAGATGTCTTTTGTCTTCTGTGAAGAGGAACTCTTAAATCATCACAGTCCTTGTCAGCTCAGTTGAAGGATCTCTGAGATAGGAACAGCAAAATAAAATAAGACAAAATATGATACATGCTATTACAGTGTGCTTGGATGTTTTTAATTTAAAAAGTGGATGGTGTTGATTGTTTGAAATGCTTTCACAGACCTGTATATCACTGAGTGTTGAGAAGGGAGGGGTTTTTAGTTTTTAATTTCTATTTTGTCATCTGTTTAGGTTTACACCCCAGTTATTTGTAATGAAAACAAGCCATCTGCACAGTAACCTGTAAGCTCTCTAACCAAGCAGTACCAAAACAGGTTGGGCAGTGTAGTTCTTAGATGCCTCTGAATTCACCTGCACTGTCACTATCGAGTTAGAATTGTCATTCCAGTTAACTGCAAGATCAGAAAACCCATCTCGAAATCCGTGGTAGCAATAACCCCGAACACCTGTGGGTGGCATTATTGGTCTGCTTTTCATTGCTGTGCAGGGCAAGAAGCAATTACTGACCTGCAGAAGCAAGTATTGGTACAAATAGAAATGAACGATGCATAGAAGTTCAGCTTCTAACGAATTTCTTTCTTTACAACACGAGGATTTTGTAGAGAAAAAGGCTGGTTATGACTATTCTGTTCTCCAGCTTCTGCCTGGTTATTAAAAGCTGCATAAGGGAGTGTGACAGTCTGGAGTGTGCTCAGGAAAGCTGTTTCCACTTGCAAAAAGCAGTAAAATACCTATATTCATTAAGAACATATCTATTTGTCTTTAAAAGCTACCTACATGTAGAATAGGGCCCAAAGGATATGTTATCCAAGCTGCATTCCTATGGTTGAATACAACCAGGCCATGGAAAGCCACAGACCTCCCTCTCTGGCCTCTCCTCCTGTCAACCAGAC